ATTAATGTTGTTCTCAGCCTTGATTAACGAAACTTCTCTGTGTGATAACTAGTTTTTCTTGTAAATTCATGCTTGGAAAATGTTAAGAAAAATGAGCATTGAGAACTCAACATTAAACAAGATACCAACATTTCTCCTTGCCAAGTTCAGTTCACATCACTTAAAGGAACACAAAAGAATATAAGAGTTTAACCATAGGAAAATGGACCATAGAGTAAGTGGTGTTTTGTGACATGACATGGTTGTGGCACTCAAATTCACAGCAGTTGAGGCTGTCTGCATAGTTCATATATGTGCACAGGGTCTCACAGGGGCTTATTAACTTCACTCTGACCAGGGGAGCCAATGGCATTTAAGCGTTATGGGGAGGGAGGCGAGAAAGGGGAGACAAGACATTATTGTACTCAGTGATATAGACACTGGTGAGTTATTCATGCATGGGTGGAAAGCTGTCATCGTAGGTGATTTTTTTGCTTTTTTTTTGGTTTGGGGTAGTTATTATTTGCTTGTTTGTTTGGTTGGTAAGTTGATTTTTGTATTTGTCAACTTGACACAATCTAGAGCTAACCAAAGAGAAGGAATCACAGAAGAAAATGCTTCCATAGGCAGGGAAGTAAATATCTTAATTAAGGGAGCCATTTTAGGGTTTGCAAGAGACTTGATTCTAGAGGGGTTCCCAGGTCCAAGGAGAGGTCTCCAGATTGTCCCTTCGGCAGTAGAGTAGAGGGTGCCTGAACTGGCCTTGTCCCATAGCCACACTGATGAATATCTTGCATATCACCATAGAACCTTCATCTGGCGATGGATGGAGATAGAGACAGAGACCCACATTGGAGCACTGGACTTAGCTCCCAAGGTCCAAATGAGGAGCAGAAGGAGGGAGAACATGACCTAGCAAGTCAGGATCACGAGGGGTGCGTCCACCCACTGAGACGGTGGGACTGATCTAATGGGAGCTCACCAAGGCCAGCTGGACTGGGAGTGATGGAGCATGTGATCAAACTGGACACTCTGAATGTGGCTGTCAATGAAGGCTGACTGAGAAGCCAAGGACAATGGCACTGGGTTTTGATTCTACTGCATGGACTGACTTTGTGGGAGCCTGGTTTGTTTGTATGTTCACCTTTATAGACCTGGATGGAGGGGGGAGGACCTTGGACTTCCCACGGGGCAGGGAACCCTGACTGCTCTTAGGACTAGAGAGGGAGAAGGAGGTGGGGAGGGGGAGGGAAAAGGGAAGCAGGGAGGAGGTGGAAATTTTTAATAAATAAATAAATTTTTTAAAAAAAAAAAAGAAAGAAAATGCTTTCATAGTCTGGCTTATAAACAGGTGGGGGGGGGGATTTTCTTAACTGGTAATTGATGTGGGAAGAGCCAGCCCACTGTGGAAGGTGATACCCCTAGGGTCTGAGATATATACAAAAGAAGGCTGAACAAGCCAGTAGAGTAAAGCAACAAGCAGCACTCTTCCATGTCTTCTGCTTCAGTTTCTGCCTCCAGCCTCCTGCCTCCACCTCCTTCTCTGACTTGCCTCAGTTATGGACTGTAACCTAAGAAGTATATGACAAAATGAACTCTTTCCTACCCAAGTTACTTTTGGATTTTTATCACAGCAAACCAAAACTTAACAAAGACCAGAGCTTCACATGTATTCTCACAAGCAACCCTGGTTAAACTGAGTAGATCACAAAGCAAGAATAAATACCTAAAAGTTACGTGTGGAGACTCGTTAGAATGGAAAGATGATGGTGGTGGTAGGACAAGAGAGATCAGAGAGAATTGTGGGACTAGAGAGTATTATATAAATGTATGGGTTTGACAAGAAATCAGTCAACTTAAAGAAAAAGGACATGTAACACAGCATGAACAAGAAAGTCTAACCTGTGCTAATGATTCCCAAAGCCCGGATAATCTAAGACAAAAGGTTCAATTCTTTACATAATGATCATTGAGCTTTTAAACTTTTTTTTTCTGGTCTGCCTTACTTCCTCCTTTGGAAGTGTATCTTTGTCTAATGAACTGTTTCTGTGTCTGCTACTATCTACCTATCTCTGGTCAGTTCCTTTTTCTGGGAGACAGGAACCCAGAATCTTCCTGAGGTGTCTATTTCATTCAGTATTGACCAATATTACCAAGAACTTCTAAAGGTAGTCGTGGAATCTACTCAAAGAATGTTGAAAACCAGTCTGGGATGACTGGTCTTTACAAATGTAAGAGCTAAAAAACTCAGCCAACAAAACTCCCTTCACCGATATAGTGACCCAGGCTCTAGGAATTTTCTAGGCTACATCGTAAGTCTGCTCTATACCCAGACATCACATTCCAGCCATTTCTCTACCTATCTCTAGAACTTTCCTTGACCTAGCACCACTTTCTTTACTGAATTCTATTTCATAACTGCTTGCTTCACTTCGCTTCCTATTCTGGTTTCACTGCTTTTCTATCTTTATGTTTGCCAGGCTGCGGGTCACAAACTTCCAGCATGTAAGGGAAACGGACCCTCAGTTTCCTAAGGGAAAACAGTTTCATACATGTATTAACATTTATCACAACGACCATTTATATTTCTTTATAGGACTGTTTAATTTCTTTTCTAACACAAAATTATTGTGGATTGTGAAGTTTAAATCTATAATCACTTAATATTTTGCTTAAATGAAAAACATTTGTATATGTAAAATCATTAAATATCTGCTCAAATGTAAAAGTAGTCAGTACTACTATGTTTTACCTCTACAGGAAGGACATTCTTGTATCTAGTATATTTTCTTTTTCAGACAGGCATGGGCCCTTGACCATCAAATAAGATAGAGCATCAATCAGCTTGGAAACAAGCTTGAAAGCCACATCTTCCTTCCTTTGGGAATGTTAATTATTTCTGCAGAAGAAAACTATTTTCTATCAAATTTACCCCAATATATCTCATAGTAAGATGAACAAATACCATTTTTCTTAAAGGTTAGAAAATTCAAGACCTTGGGGCTGGAGAGATGGCTCAACAGTTAAGAGCACTGGCTATTCTTCCAAAGCAACGGAGTTTGACTCCCAGCACCCACATCAGGCAGCTCACAACTATATCTAACACACCTGAAGTCTCTGAGGGCATCTGCATGCATGTGCACATACCCATAGATACAAATAATTAAAAATAAAATGAATCCTTTTTAAAACAAAATCCTAAAGACAACGAAGAACATTCTCATTTATAGCAGTTAACAATTTGTGATTTCCTGCAAATAGCCCACAGTCTTTAAAAATTATTTAAAGAAATAGCTAAGAAATGGTATTAGCACCCTATATAAGCTTGTTGACCTTCTTTTTCTTTTTCCCTGGGGGTTTGGAACCATGCCTAAGATAGTATTTGGCATTGGTGAGGTGTTCAAAAACGTTTGCATGATAAATTTGCCAGTATTAGTGTAGCAGAATATCAATAACAAAAAGTTGGGGGGGGGTTGTTTTGTTGTGTATTTTTAATCAAGTACACATGGAAGAAATTTTTTTTAAAAAAAGTGAGTAACTGTTTGAGGAAGTAGAGGGCCAGCGCTCCAAGAACTTACCAAAACAGTTTATTGCCGCCATGGCAACAATCAGGTGACTCAACTCAGCTTGGTTCTTTTTCAGTTGAACGACACAGAAAGGCAAACATTGTACTTGTTAACCTTCCATAAGAAGGGCTTAGCACAGACGTCTATCAGGTGATACTGATACATTTAATAACGTTTGGCAGCCTTTGGAAAGATACGGTGGTAATCATCCACTAGTTATGTTAAGTCCTAGCTTGTCAATTGATTCTAGAAAAGTCAATATAATCATTGAGAGGTTAAGTGTCAAACACCTGCTGCTGAAATTATTAAGGAAAAAGGGAGCATTATCATACTCATATACAGTATCTCTCTTCACTTCATTCTTAAGTCGTTAATTTAAAAAAATAACAGATGAGCAGGAAATATGGCTCAAAGCAAAGCTGTAGCCTACAGCAACAGGGTTTAAGTTTTTCTCCTTCCCTGACTGACACATTGCTGGGGGTTTGTTTTTCCCCCACGTGGATCCGAGGGATTAGCCCTCACACCCAGTTTCTCAACATAATGTCTCAGTGAGTCACTCAAAACTGGAGGGAGACTCTAGGATGACAAAACATGTGCTGGGTGGCAATTTAAAGCAGCCTGACGCCTCCCAGGATTGTTTGCTTTCTCTGAGACCTATCTTAGATAGAGAAGCTGCCACCTAAAATGAAGCCTTTCGGGTTTTAATAACAACAGCCACTGCTCAGTGAAACTGCAGCTAAACTACAAACACAAAGCAGAAAAAAACCCCAGTGAAAGGCAGAAATTCAGCGAGAGAATGGAAGCCTGATCCTAAAATCGCCCTGTACCCCTCCCTCCATTGAGAATAAAATTAATAACTTGACAATAACTTATTCTTTAGCTATCTGTAAAGTCAGAGGATATATGGTGTGACTGCGCCATTTTACTTATCGAATACAAACAACTTTTGAGCATAGAAGACCTCGGACCAGTTTTCTGTCTTTAATTAACTAGGCAAAGCTCTTGAGGCCTTATTTTTTAAATTTCTAGGATTCTTTCTCGTTCAATCAGAAACAGACAAACCTACTTTCCAAGGTAGTGACGGAGTGCCCATAAATGAGTACGTGTATCAAGTAGCAAACAACAAATTCACAACTATTATGAAGGATGCCAAGCTAGCAAAGTGCCTAGGCTAGGCGCTCAGAGGAAGCAACAGTGAGTGACCGCTTCAGACCACGGTGAGCCTCCAGAAGTGTGCTAGCCTTGACTTCTCTGGAGAGAGGCTACAGGTGTCAGTCGCTACAGTCCTTGCAGGAAGGGCGCTAACCTCACTCCGCATAGTCCTTCCCTACCAGTAACTGCAGATCTCTTTTCCTTATCGGAAAAGTCATCGCGTTGTTGAAGAGAAAAAGCAGCTCACAGATTGGGTATCCCGGTTGAACAGCGCCCACCTCCAGTGCTCGTCGGACCACTCACCTGGGAATGAGTTGGGCCTCGTCTCCGAGGCGCGCATGGAAGTCCCGCCACGCCGGGCCCGGGATCTCTGGCTCGGCAGCGTCCCAGGCTCCCTGGGCCTCTGCACTGTCCCGGCCGAATGCTCCGCGGAAGCCGCGCGCGAACTCCGGGAAGGTGATGGCACCATCGCAGTCGGTGTCGAGCCCCAGGAACACCGCCTCCGCTTCGGCCTCAGCCACGTGCAGCTCCGCGCACAGCGCGCCGAACTCCGCTCGCTCCAGGCGCCCCGAGCCCCTCGTGTCGTAGGCGGCAAAGACCGAGCGCAGCCGCGCCAGCTCCTCGGGGTCCGCGTACCCCTCCATGGCGCCGCTGGCCACCGCCAGGCTCTTAGCTCCAGGGCTCGGCCAGTGGAGCAGGTCCGGCCGGTTCTGCCACCTGCCCACCTGCCGCGGGCGGGGATGTCCGGATGAGGCGGGGCGCCGGCAGAGAAAGGCGCTTGCCTCCAGCTGCAACCGCCCGACTGGTGCCCTGAGCCACCGAGTGCCACTTGGCACCTCCCAGCCGGTCTGCTCCACCCTACGGTGGAGCAAAGACGCAGCTTAGCTCCCAGGCTTTCATCTGCAGCAGCTGGACGGTCCTTCTGTTCGACTTTGGGAGATACAGCAGGAACTAAGGGCACTCTGTCCCGCTCATAAAGGCCTGTTACTTAAACTCTCCTTTTCTGCACCGTAGATATGGATGGTGTCTGATTGCATATGGAATGCTAACTCACAAAGGGGGAAAAGGCAGGTATAAGATTCCAAATTGGCTAAACTTAATGGCACTGTATTCTCTCTTAATTCCAGACACGTGGTAACTTTGCCTACATATAGCTTTACTTTTTAAAAATCAAAGAAAAAAAATACCAGAAGACTTTTCTCTAATTTTATGTAAGTTGATCTCCCATATGCCTAAATTGAAACAAGTATTGTCACTTGATGACTCCTTGGCTTTAGAAAAAAAAAAAAAAGTACCAAAAATCACCTAGAGGTAGCATTCTTTTTTTTTTTTTTTCTTCTGGTTTTTCTAGGTTTCTCTATAAACAGTCCTGGGTGTTCTGAAACTCGTTCTGTAGACCAAGTGGCCTCGAACTCAAAGATCTGCCTTCCTCTGCTTCCTGCGTGCTGGGATTAAAGGCATGTATCACCACGCCCAACTTCTTTTTAATTTTTCATTGGAAAAAAAGTATGTACTTTTGATCATGTTTTCCCCTGCCCCAACATCTCCCCTATTCCCCCCCCTCCCTCCCTCCGCAGCCAACCTTATGCTCTCTCTCTTGTGCTTTGTGCGTGCTCTCTCACTCTCTCAAAAAAACAAAACAACCAAACAGAACATCCAAACAAAGGAACAAAAAATAGTAAGGCAAACAAAACAAACAAAAAACTAAAATACAACAGACTAAAAGTACCTGGAGCAGGCCAGGGGACGTGGGAGTTTGTTTTGGGCTGGCTAAGTACTCCTGGGCATGTGACCTGCCCTGGAGCGCGGTTGATACTCCCAGTGACACTCCATTGGGGCAAACTGAGTTTCCATCTGCCCCCAGGTAGCAGTTGCACATGGTTTCTTGATTAGGGGTAGAAGTTTGCATCCACCTCCCCTTTTCAGTGTTGTGATTTTGTCTGGTGTGAGCATGTACAGGCATTGTGTGTGCTGCCACAGCTTTTTAGCCTATTTGTCATTCAGTCTTATTGTTACTCGAACACATATTGCCTTGCAGTCATCCACTACTCCTGGCTGTTAAAGTCTTTTTGCCGCCTCGTGCACATAGATTCCCCAGAAACCTTGAAAAAAGAGATTTGGTAATGGCATCTCTTTTAGGACTGAGTGTTAAAGAGAATCACTTTCTGTCCATTTTTCAGTTGTGGGTCCCTGTGTTATCAACATATACTGTAAGAAGAAGCTGCTCCGAGAATTGAGCAAGGGACTGATCTATGAGTACAGCAATATATTTTTGGGAATTGTTGTATTGCTATGTCCGTTAGCGGAATAATAGTAGTGGGTTTTCCCGCCAAGCCCATGATCTATCTTTAGGTTCTAGACACGTATGATCAGAAGTCTAATACATGGGCTTTATAATTACTGCAATGGGCTTTATCATAATCACTGATTTCAGAACTTCCCAGGTTTTTTTCTAATGATTGCTTTTTCCATGTAATGTAAAAACTGACATGCTTGGTAATGCCTTTAAAGTTCTACACCTCTGCTAATTTAACTGAATCTTTGTAACTCAACCTCATGCAGTTAGACAGTAGTTGATATGTTTTCAAGACAAATGAATTGTTTTTGCACTGCTTAACTTTAAGTGTTTTCTTAAAGATTGTTCAGACAATTTTATTCATGATTAGCTCTTAGTATTCCTGTCTTCTTTGACCTGTTCTTTCCTCCCCCAGTCTTTTCATTAAAAAGTCATTAAGAAATTCATATATTACAAATATCATGTAAATATCTTCTATCCATTGCTCCAGACTAGTGAGATGTTTTTTTTTATACCATTTCTAGTAGCATAGTCAATACAGAGTCATTGTAAACAGTAACCATTTATTTGTGCGTTGATGCTTTGTTACCCTTTCGGGCAGGGTTCAGCAAGGTGGTTTTAGTGTTTGTTGTCTCTGGTTATTTACCAAGCTCTGTAAGGTGGAGTGAGGTGTTGGGTGGAGGTTGTTCCATGCCTTTGGAGTGCTGGCACTGGCTGTTTCACATGGTGACAGTATTCCAAGACAGTTAACTCCCTATTCACAAGTGCCTTTTAAATTTCAACATATATCATAGTTGGTGCTGTTCTATAAATCAGAACAAGTCATGTAAGACATGCCTAAGTCAATGTAAAATAGAACCACAGAAAGTCATGGATATTGAGATACATCTTACTCAGTGGACCATTGTTGGACAACAACTCAAATCAAGGACACAGTGGCAACCACTTATATATACCCTCCATCTTATCTAGCTGGCTTTTAGGGCATTGCACTACTGTAACTGAACAGGCATTTTTAAATACTTCATACTATTATTCACCAGTTAATGGTTCCCAATCATGTGGCAGTGTACTGCCTCCTGGCACATTTGGCACTACCTGGAAACAGTTTGACCTTTTTCTTAATTTGGGAAGAGAAAAATGGTACCTATCTAGTAGATAGGCTAGAGGATCTGAGTATTCTGTAATGCTCAGATTAATCTGAGCCCATCATAAAATTATCTGGTGAAAATATCAATAGTAAAAAGGTTTAAAAGGTACCTAGCTCAAAAGTCATTCCATTGTGTTCTAATTAGAGAGAACCAAAGGAATACTTCAGATGGTCTTTCCAAGTCCTCGGCAATCTAGTCCTATTGTGTAAGTCCAAATCTTTCTCCATTTAGCCATATTTATCATGTAGCTAAATTATTATCCCTTTTATGAGGAAAAATATAAGCATAAATCTGGCTTCTTCTCTCTCACACCTAATTACACCATTTATTAGTGTCAGTGGAATACGATCCTGTTCCCACAATCTGTCTCTTACACGTCCAAGGTTTATCATCCTTTTCTTTTTTTTTAATATTTATTTATTTATTATGTATACAATATTCTGTCTGTGTGTATGCTGCAGGCCAGAAGAGGGCACCAGACCTCATTACAGATGGTTGTGAGCCATCATGTGGTTGCTGGGAATTGAACTCAGGACCTTTGGAAGAACAGGCAATGCTCTTAACCTCTGAGCCATCTCTCCAGCCCTTATCATCCTTTTCTTATATCATGTAACAGACTGCAAGAACCCTTGCAACATTAATAGCAGTGTTCTGTGAGGAGAGCCAAGAAAGAGAGAGAAATTCTGTTATTATATTACAAACTAAAACAGTGAGTTGGGAATTGGAGATAACACAGGACCCTTGGACAGCCAAGGTCACCACTGTGGTTTCTAGAGATAGCCTTCTCCCTGGTTGTTGGAGAAATTTCCAAATCAGAGACAAACGTGGAGCAAGTTTCTTAAAGATTCCCTTGGGAAAGAAAAGGTTTGAGGTTGGATATTCTGCAAACACAAAGAAATTTGGAAAACGGTTCAAATGAATCCTTTTTGGAATGAAATAAAACTAATAATATCTCATAATTATATTTGATTACCAAAACCTTTGGTGGGTTTGATTTGGTCTTTATTTAAATAAATTCCTATAGAAAAAATTCTTCAAAATGTATTTTGTGAAGCTTCATGTTAGTTTAAGAAAGGAGTCACAATAAATAATTCATTGTGGTGCATTAGCCCATTTACCCATAACAGAAGTGAACACTACTCTGGAAACCTGCTTTATACCTGATAAGTGGGAAAAGCTTTTAATGGAAATGCATTGTAATCTACAGTGTAAGGTTTCCATCAGGCACAAGAACCTTCCTCACATAGTGACTTAATTCTGCATTTACTTTGCTCTACAAAGATCCGATATGCAAATTAAGATGGAACTAAATATCCCACAAGTGCTACATCATGTAGGGGCTATTCAGTAAGTTCGGGAATGCTCAGAAATGCTTGAATCGCTGTATGCATTTTACTTCTCAAAAATATATACTCATGACTTAATATTCTCAACAAATGAAGTGGAAAATGTTGAGGATATATAAATAAGAATACATACTTAAATATATATGTTTAAAAGCATAAAATATAATTTGATACTAATATATCTGCTATTGAGAATTATCAGATCTGAACATTATATGACATTTGCTTCTGGTCTACTCTTCAAATAAAACTATACTATAGACCTCATTCAAAGGCATTGCGTTTCTGTAATTAATATATAACATTGTGAGTGTCTTAGCAATTACAAAACTTTAGTGAACCTCGTAGTATTATAGAAACATAGATAGTGAGGTAGTGAAATGGCTCAGCAGGTAAAAACTCCTGTTGTGCAAACCTGACAATCCACATTTGCTCCCCAGATCCAACAACGGAAAGAAAACCTCAGCTAATCACTGAACGTTGTCTTCTGACCCCACATGTGTACTGCAGTCTGTAGGTTTGTAAATACACAATAATAATAAGTTGAATAAAAATTTTTGATGATGGATATTTTTACAATGTTTCAAATAGTATCAAAAAACATTTTGCATCTCAGCCACATGACGCTCATCACTAGAACTGAAGGAGCAGTGGTAGGTTCAAACTTCTGATGCCATTTGTGATGATAAAGCAAAGTTAAAATGTAATTTTTCCAAGTTACCAAAGGTGTATCTTGGGTATATTGTCTTTCTCAGTTGAGCCAGAGATTGTATTTTACATTATGAACTATGGAAGAGAACAAAAGAGGGGAAACCAAATACAGTGGAAAGTACATGGACCTCATTTCACTTCTGTGATTTCACTAGATTATGGAAAATTCATTTTCCATGTTGCCTTAGCCGAAAGGAGCTACGGTGTGAGAAGAAAGGCATGCAACTCAGACCAGTGAATGCAACTCAGACCAGTGAATGACATTTGGTAACAGAAGACCAAGACTGGTGGTCAAAAGTG